ATGTGGGAAATTAATGTGGGAAAAAATAAATACTCTAAACCCTAAGTAGATTTACACAAACTGAAAAAGTCAAAGAGCGTTACGTTGTGCCCCGCTCTCCCCTACGTTATTTGAACATTGACTTAAAAAATAGTCTAAGCTACGAAAAAGACATAGGTATATTGCATTTTGTTTCAAGATCCAAATTGAAATTAAATGTAATCATACAAAACACCTGGTCTTTATGCCACTGACTTTGTTACATCAGTAGCCTACTGATTTTTTTCTAAGAAGTGTATAAAGGCCCAATTTAGGACAAGAAAATAGATTGTGATCATGGCCACTGAAAGAAAAGCAGACTACAGTGTGACTTCAGTTCACAGATTTTATTCAGACAGCTCTGGAGGAAAGAGCAACTCAGGTTGCACTGCAGGTGCTTTCTCTGACCACAGCGATGACACCACATCGAAAATTTTTAAATGTCTTAGAATGAGTCTCTCGGCAAAGTGATATGTAAAAGGCAGGAAAATCACCCACCTGTGCTTTTCAATTTTTTTTTTTACATTAAACAAACAGAAATGAATTTTACCTGCCATATTCTCCATCTTTTAGGCGCTTCACATGTATATATATATATATTTATGTTTATCAACACTTTTCTAAAGAATTCAAATATTCAGCCACATGTACTGGATTCACTTTTAAATCACAATAAATATATAAAAAACAAACTAAACACATACATAGCAAATCCAATATAATTGGGTTGATATTGGAGAGAGGGAGGACTCGTCAGCCAAGACGTACAGACCTGGTTAAAAAAGAAACACAGATCCAAAGGGTTCCTGAGGTTTGCATGTTCCCCGTACATAAGAACAGTGTAAGGGGAATGGCTTTCCGACTCACTGAGAGGCTTCTGACTGAGGTCAAAGAGCACAGGTCAGTTGGTTTATAAGTTGGGTGGATCTACCCCATCCCAAACGTGACGCCCCTATTCTGTATTCCCAATAAAAACATTTAAAAAATGACATGACATCAAGTTTTTTATCTTTTGCTTTTTGTCTAGAACAAGCAGAAATCACTAAGGGAACTACTGTCAGGGGCCATTTTACTCCCTCAGTTGTGGAGAAGAAAGTTAGTGGTGCCCTTTGAGCTGATGATAAGTCCCTCCTCTCTCTCGTCCTCGGCATCTACCATCAGTAGTGACAACCACGTCTAAAGGCCCTTACACAGAAGACATTTTGCGCTGGATGTTTGACAAAGAAAGAAACAAAAGCATAGCTAATAACTTAATATTCACACTATGTTCTTCATTTTCTAACAATAATAATAAAATAAAAAAACATTTGCATGGATCATAGCAATAACTTATGAGAAAATAAATATACAGAGATTTTAGCACAAAAGTGTGCAAAGGCCTTTACTGTGGTTTAAGGTCAGCATGTCCTTCAGTGTTCCCCTCTATTATGATTTGATTGAAAATAAAAAGCACGTTTTGGGGTCACGACAGGGCAAGAGGTGGGGCTTTACTTGGACAAACAAAACCAACAACAACAAAAATAAAAGCAACAACAGAAAAAAAAGTCTTGAATTCTGTACATGTAAACATCACACACTTCCACTGAGTCAAAAAACCAGAAAGAAATCATACAAAGCTTCACATTGGTACAAAGAGAAACTGAGCTTCAGCATACAGTCTCTAGTAAGAACAAGAGTAAAAACAAATAAAATACCATAATCATAATAATGTTACAAAGCACCACAAAATTAAAATATATCACAGGCAATGGTTGTTACCACATTTGATTTGATTTTAGCTGCACGGTTTAAAAAAATAAAAACTTGTAGCTTCTCTTTTCTTATCCTTTTCTTTACATGTGTCTTGTGTTCACCAACCTCAGATGTCCAGAGAGCTTTCAAAAACGTCTTGCACTTCTAATATCAATTATGAACAAAAAGGTACAAAACACAAGGAACAAAAAACGAATAATAGGGCAAACAAAGATCAATAACCTGATACAACTTTTGGACAAATATTTTGATGCTGTCACCATATAATTAGAATAAGCCCAAAAACATTTCTCGTCTTTCAACTCAAAGCCCAGTGCTGGACTGGCTCACATTTTCCTGCATGGAGTAAAGGGAACAAATAATTACAATGCAGGACAAAAAATACAGAACATTATGGCTTGAGAATGATCAGCTGCATTTCATCATTTAGGATCATTTAGGTGGTTTTAAGGCTCCATCCCATAAACATTTGACCCCTCTTGTGTGTAAATTTTCCTTTGCGGATTGTAAAGTGCTACTATGTTAACCAATTTAATAATTTATAAAGTGTAACATCTGAATATAAATTAATTAATGTTCCTATCACTTCATCCTTTCATCAAGGAATCTATTTCAGTGAGTAACAAGTTAGAGGTAATAAACAAGCTTCCAGCCACGTATCAAAACTAAGTTGTTGAAGACAACTTAGATCTTTTTTTTTCTCTTCAAAATTTGTGATTTGAATGTCATATTCAGTCCCTTAGAGACCCGTTTGAGATGTGTGTTTTACATTTGGAATGTTGAGACTCACAACACTGATTCCCTTCAGACTGTCAATGTAGTCCAACCAGAGTTTTTTTTTTTTTTTTTTTTTTTTTTTTGTAAAGTAACAAAAAGATATTTAACATGTGGAATAAAAAAGTAATACAAAACAACAAATAAAGCACAAATGGAATGGCAAGACGGCAAAAATAGATAATTAAAAATGTGTGTTTGCAGCTAAATAGAGGAAAATGCTCTGTTCCACATATTTGGGTTGCAGAGTGAGGACACGGTTCAAGCTATGGCTACAAGACTTGAAACTTGAAGGCCCTGTATTGTCACCACTCTACTAAAGGCTAGAGAGTCAGAGTGAGATCTCACACACCGCTATGCTGTTTTACGAGGGATCAAGTCACAATAGTTCAGGATTGTCTTTTGCTTTTTTTTTAATACAGTTTTTTCTAGCGATGGCATTTGTGAACATGAGGAACTGCAGGCAGGAGGAAGAGTGAGGCTGGTGTCAGAGCGGAATTGCATCATCAATGTTCTACGTACCACTTGGTTCATGTGGATGATGTCCACCAATCACTGCCTCTCAAGCCACTTCATCATTGTTTTCCTTCTGCTGATATTAGGTCCTTTCTCTCAGACTCACTGTGCATATACAGTATGTGTGCCAATAGGATGTTAAGTCCAATAAGTTTTGATTGGTCCCCGTGAAAATGAAAGTGTCTCAGTCATGAGGTTAGAAAAAAAGAGCAGCATTCACAACTTAACAGAATGTGTTTGCAATGTAATGCAGCATGGGAAATGCAATCCTTGTCCCTTTTCCCCCCCTATTATTTTTTAGTCCATCAACGGCCCTCCTGTCTGGAAGGTTGATGTCACCCATGTGTTCCTGTGAGAAATTTTCCTACAGTGCATTGATGCACTGAGGATGGAGTTTTGCCAAGGCAATCGAGCATGTAGGAAAGGGTTTGAAGCGTTCCACTCAGCACAGCTTCATTTGCATAAAGTCCAACATTCCCAGCCAATAGAATTTCAGCATCTTCTTTTTTTGCGCTCACCAATCACGGTTTCTTTTAGTAGACTTTTATGTGTGCATGTGTAAGCTTGAATGAAAATTCTTATATATGAGAGGAATATATATATATATATATGTACAAAGGACATCTGTTAAAGTGTTCATGATTGAAAATGATGCATTTTCAAACACGGACACACTATAACGATTATCATCTACATTGCACCTTCTCCCCAAACCTTATTAGCATTGAACAGATAAAAGAGATTTTTTCAAAAAACCCTTTTCTCTTGAATCTGTTCTATATCTAAAATGGCTAAATCTGGAGCAAAGCTGCTGCATGGATATGTCTATGGTAACAAAAGAACTTAAACATCTGAGGAACTCTTCAAATTCAATAAAACAAGATGCCAATGACAAACAGGAATCTAATCTGATAGCAATATTTTGTGCCATAGTGTAAACTTTATGCTGGAGTTGACATCATTTTGTGTTTGTTTTGGGCATCCCTCCTAAATGTACTGCTTTTGTGTCTCAAAAGATGAAAGGTCTGGACTCTCTGTGGTGGACTGATAGATCTCACTGTGTTGTGCTCTGTGCAAGACGATTGTAATGCCGTTGTGAGTACAGACACCTCTTGCTTTGTGTTCTCTGATCATCTCATCATAAAACATTGTTTAACAAGTCATCTCAGCCCTCCGAAAAGGATTAAGCCCTGATGGACTCAAAGGTAAGGACATTTGATAAAGACACTATAATGGACATAAAGCTGTCATGAGCAATGTGTGATAGGTAGGTTTACAGGAAGAGCATAGGCAGAGTTTGGGGGGTGCCAGGGGGAATCGAGTGTCTAGAGCCAAAATTGTTTTGATCTTTGCGTGTTTAAATCAATTTTTATTATTTAAATCATTTTGGGCAAAATGAGTATACCCTACTTCTCGGGCACAACCGTTGCTGTTGTCATAAATTGTTTTGCTGAGCACAAGAATCAACAATCTACTTCAAGTGCATTAAATATTACTGCTAATGACTGCAATTCCTGTTTAAGTACATTTATTCCCTCATGTGCATTAACAAGTCTGTGTAAAGCACCTTACATAGTATATAAGGCCAAAAATAATACTTGCCCAGTGCCAAACGCAAGTACAAGTTGTTAACTTTATTTGGAACGGATACATAATATTAAAATGGTTTTATTTGAATATTTTCTTATAAAGTTCAGGTTTCTTTTCCTTCTGTAACTATTCATTCTATTAAGCCACCAAAATAGTTTTTATGAGAGGTAGAATTTTATATGGAAAAAATTTAGAATTACATGTAAATTTAAATAAAACATTTCAATGCAAAAATAAATAAAAACCATGCAAAATACAGGTTCATGGCAAGTGAACCTGAGAAAATGATGGCTGGTAAATGTTATCAATTGTAGACCCTGTATGTGTGCTTCAGATACAGCTTCTTCTGACCCCCCAAGCGAAGTGAAACTCCGCCTATGGACTTTAGGTGTATATGTATGTAAGTGCACATAGCTACATGTATCTTTCCTGTCATAGTGTGCATTTATGTGTACGGTATGTGTGTTTATGAGAGAAAGACGGGCAGCACCAGCCTGTGTGCAGTTCTCAGTTCTGCTGCAGAATGAGGTTCTCGAGCTCATCAGCAGAGCGGAGCAAGAAGGCCGCAGACTCGCGATAACCTGCAATCAGTTGCCGAACAGCCGTGACCTCGGGCGGGCTGAGCTGGGCAGATGCCCCTCCACCCCCTCCACCCTGACCATGACTGTTTGAACTGGAGGAGGAAGTGCTGTTGGATGCCAAAGATTTCATACTGAGATCAGTAGGCCCTGAAAGAAAAAGAAAGAGACGTTTATTAAAATGAATATCTAGTAGATCTATAGAAAAGACTAGACTAGGGTTGCTTCAATACCAGTTCCAATAGTCAATAGCAAGCATGACGTATGATGTCGGATGTAGCGTCAGCTCAGGTGAGAGTAGACGCCTCTTGCGGTTCCGCGTTCGTCAATACGTCGGGTCAGAGTTCATTCTTCCGCCGGAAATACTTGCATATGGAAGCCAGTGATTATATTTCATAAAGTTATTAATATGGATATTTTTCTTTAAAAAACGCATCGCTTTGCTTCAGAAGGCCTTTATTAACCCCCTGGAGCTGTATGGATTACTTTTATGATGGATGGATGATCGCTTTTTTTGGGCTTCAAAATCTCAGTCACTATTCATACTATTCAGCCAGGATATTTTTTAATATAACTCCGATTGTGTTTGGCTGAAAGAAGAAAGTCATATACACCTAGGATGGCTTGAGGGTAAGTAAATTATGCGATCATTTTCATTTTTGGGTGAACAAACCCTTTAATACCAATTTTGATATCACAGCAAAAACTAACAAAATTAATTTAAATTGTTAAATTGAACAATTACATTTTTCAAATGAAATATTAAATTAATATAGCGTTTAATATGGAAGTATTAATATAGTATTTAATATAAAAAACAAAGAGGGTGCACTTTTTTTTGCTGTTTATTAACTCATAACGGGAAGTCATTTTCTTTTTGATTATAGACATTTTGGCCTTCACACCTAAATCAACTAGGAAAGTGTGGAGACTGCATTGATGGGAATATAAATATGAACAAATTAAAATGTATTATTTTTCATTTTAGTAAACACTGTTTTAAATAAATAGTAAAGGGGGGCAGTTTTGGCCTAGTTAAAGAGTGTGCACTTGGATGGGTAAAATGCAGAGCACAAATTCTGAGTATGGGACACCATACTTGGCTACATGTCACGTCACTTAAACCATGAAGAACTTAAGAAAAACTTTTTTTTGCATATTACTCACCATTGGTTTGTGATGTGCCATTGTTTTGGACGTTGTTGCCAAGGGTCCCGTATCCACGGAAACTGTAATTAAGTCCACCATTGGTGTAGAGTTGGTCCTGGGAGTAGGCCGCGGCGGCCAGTGAGAAGCCTGAGTTAGCCAGGGCAGCCGGATCTCTGGAGTTTGGCTTGTCTGCTGTAACCGACTCATCCTGAACAGGAGTGCATGGAAAGGAAAAATGTGATAAGGCAAAGAAAGACCAAAAGATAACTCACCAAGTAATCTAAAAATGAATTCAATCTGATTAAAGATCTAGAGATCAATGCACACATGCACTCACATGGGCCTGATAGATGTCAAGGCGCATCCTCTTAGCAGCATTACGTGTTTCACTCTCACATGCTGCTGCAAGGATGTTCTCAGCCATGGCGGAGGTGAGGTGAGGGGGTGTGGGCCGTGTCTAAAATCATCGGACAGGGCAGAAAAACATATGTTATTACCTTATGCATTTCTGACTATGTTCTAATCTTAAAGGATGGTGTTTTTAACCCATATGTTACCAATTGCTTTAGTTATGAAAAAACAATCTGTATCATTTTTGAGCTTTTCTCTGGAACTGAATACATTCGAAATGATATTCTATTAAAGCATTACCTTATCTTTCAAAAAAGGAAAATGACTGTGTAGCCATCTTCCTGGTTTATGATTATTGAAAACATGTTCTCCATATAGCTGCACTGTAAAATCGGATTTTTGAAGCTAGCTGCATCTGTTCAAATGCATTCAACCACTTCAAGTTAAAAAAAACATCTGTTTTCTATAAGTCTTTGGCTCTACCAGCACCATACTTTCTAGAAATGCCTGTTTGATGGCATTTAATTCCTGTGAGATGCAGAAAATAAGATATGAATTGGAAAAACATTGAATCTGTTCTTTAAGAGCAGTGATTCTCAATCATGTTTTTCTCAATCATATGACAGCACTACACATTTAGGATCTTGCTCCTATCTCGCACACTTTCATATCATGGATTTCATGAGTTAAATCAGGCTCAGTTCCAGGACAAGGGTTAAAGATGACTGCCCTGTCAGCCACTAGAGGGCAGTAGTATGCTATTGAATGGTGTGTAGCACAAACAACGGTAAGCTTTAATATGTAAAACATTTCGGATTATCTGTGGTATTGTAATAGCTCAGAAGATTATGCCAGATATGTGTGTTTTCTTGTCAACATGTGTGCACATGCCCATGTTTCCATACCTCGAAGCCACCCTTCTTCATGCGGCGACAGGATTTGAGGTAGGTTCGGATCCGTTTGCGAGAACGTTCTTGGAACTCTGGGAACTGGCGGCTGCAGGACTCAATGATGGCCTGGATCTTCTCTTTGGGCTGCTTTGAGATTGGAACCATCCGGTCCAAATTCTCATCCACAAACAACCGCACGAACATCTGAAACATGAAGAAATATTAGAGCAATGCAACAATGGAAAGAAAAGAAGATGGAAATTTTAACATACTCAATGAATCAATGAATCAGAAAAGGGAAATTGTGAGGAAGATGGAAACGTGAAGGGGGTCAAATTAAACTGAAGAAACTTATGGTTTAGCATTGAGATGAAAATAATAATTAAGGTTCAGCAGGCCACTGAAATGCTTCTATTTTTTATAATACCTCATTGTATATAATTTCTCAATGTAAATTATATTACCAGCAGAACAATTTGAAAGAAGGGTGGAAATTGAAAAATTAATATGATTTTCAATATTTCACATCATATTTGCTTTGTCTGTTTGTTTTTGCTTTCACTGCTTTATGAACTCCACAAGTCTGTGTAAAACAATGATCATATTATTCAGACTTATTCAGACTGTTATTTATATAAACTTAATTTTAGTAATAATTTCATTAATTTTTTTTTTATATTGCTATATTACTATAAAAAAAGTAAACTTATTTCCAGCAACTAATTTTAGTACTTCAACTTGTAATTATTTCAGTTACCTGCCAAGGCAATATTTCAACATTTTCGATTAGTTTAAGTTAATATAATTATATTTAATTTTACTTCTGCTTTATTCCAATTCAATTAAAAAAATATATATATTTTTAGTTTTGGTAATGAACTTGAGAATAGCTCAAAATGATTGCAATAATATTTCTCATCTATTTTATGTAAATTTAGTTTCTTTACTTTATTTCTTTCAAAATACTCAAATTTTATGTTTATTTACAAAAAGACCTCCAAACCTAAGCAATGTAGGTCATAAAGCTTGAAAAGATGAATAAAAATACAAAATCTAATGTAAACCATAATATGAGAGAGAAAGCGGTCTCACGTTAAAAGCTTTAAGTCGTTCGGGGTCCAGACCCTCAGCGTCATTTATCTTGTCGCTGTCGTCATGGTCATCGTGATCCTCATCATCATCGTCAATGACCTGAGAGCGACCCGGGGTCATGTCTTCCCCGCACGTGCTCAGTTCTGTCTTCACAGAGTCATAGCTTCCTGAGCTGTACTGAGGAGACTGTGAACATAGAGGATGTACTAAAGTCAAAACCTCCATCTGAACACCATTTTGCTTATTAGCACTTTACTTGTTTATAAATACACATTTTTTGAATTATGTGGAAAAATGTAGTCTCATACCTTGTTATTGTACTCAGTTTTGACAGGGAATTTTCTGTTAGGGTCAGATGAGTAGGATCCAAGCGTTACTCCGGGTAACAGTCTGTCACTCAGGTTGACAGGCTGCTGTCCCTCCTGTGAGGAAGAGGACGATGAAGTAGTGCTGAAGTCCAGCGGCGCTGCGGCACCATTACCGTTCACCTCACCGTATGGAACCACCCCCTCAGATGCAGGAACTCCTCCTGTCGCCATGGCAGCACCACCAGGCGGAGTCAGTGCAGGGAGACCGTTAACTGTGCTGCTATTCTCTGAAGAAGAATCATCTGAGAAAGACAGAATTAGATATTTGAATGCGTGTTCATAAAGTCGCACACAAGTGGATGCGGGGTCTAGATGTGTGTGTGTGTGTGTGTAGAGACGTCTAACGGGGGAAGGGGAGTGTGTTGTGTGAAGGTTTTTGTGTGAACAGGAAAGCAACATTGGGGTCAACTGTCAAACCAGTGGAAGGAGGCAGAGGTGAAGAGAGAGACAGCAGGATGAGGGGAATGAGATGGATGTGGGGTTCTAACAGAGTGTCTTAGTGGATGGGAGGAAGTATTTGGAAAAAGAGAGCATAGAGGGAGAAGGGGGGAAAAAGAAAAAGAAAGAAACCCCTTCTTGTCCACCCAGAGAACAGAACAAGAAAGAGATGAAAGACATGCTGAAAAATAAATAATAAAATAATAAAGTGAGAAGGCCAGACATCATTCTGCTTGTAATCTACGCTGTAAAACACATTGTTATAGTCTTGTTTCCAGTAAAAATATGTACACTACCATTCAAAAGTTTGGGTGGGTAAGACCAAAAAACAGTAGCCAGTAATATTATTAAAATGTAAAATAACTTCTTTCTTTTTTAAATATATTTTAAAATGTATTTTTCCCCCTGAATTTTCAGCATCATTACTCCAGTCTTCAGTGTCATATGATGCTTCAGAAAACATTTATGCTGATTTGGCGCTCAAGAATATTGTTTATTATTATCAATGTTGAAAACAGCATATTTTTGTGGAAACTGTGATCGTTTTTTTTTTTTTTCAGAATAGAAAGTTGAAAAGAACAGCATTTATTTGAAAAAGAAATCTTTTGTAACATTATAAAAGTCTTTACTGACACTTTTGATCAATTTAATTAATCTTTTCTAAATAGAAGTAAAAAAAGACAAAATCTTACTGACCCCAAACTTTTGAACAGTAGTGTAAACATTCCTAAAACAAGGGAACCTTTCTTAAGAAGCAAAAAATAAGGAAAAAAAATCGTATCTTTAAAAATATTTTAAGCATGACCATCACCTAATTGCGTTAGTTCTATGCTTAAAACAAAGAAAATTACTATAACATTATATTAACATTTTGATTGAATTTTTTTTTAATTCAACATGCATTCTCTGAAAACTCTTCTGAAATGTTTTCATATTTAATGCAATTTTGCTTATAGCAGTAGAAACATATACTTAACTAACATATACATATAATTGTTAGTTTAAGGATTTATTTCTATATAGCCTTTTAAATGTCTTGCACTCGTGTAATGTCACCATTTTGATTCAGTCATTAAATAATATATTTGATTTGAACCTTAACTCAGATATTCACACAAAGTACATTTAGGTTATTTTTTGGATATCCAATCAGGCATAGACAGACACTGTGTGGACAATGATATTGGCCTAAATGAAAAATATAGTATGTCAGGAACTAATGACATAAACACAGAAAAGGACGGCTCCTCTCCGAAGGCTGGGTGTAATGATAGAGTGTGGGTTAAATCATCATTCTCTTGCCCTGTGTCTCTCTAAACAGCACAATAGTCTGCCATGAGTCTAGGGAGGGATCCATTAGTGCATGGTTACATTTATATAGAGTACAGGATGGGAAAAAGACTCATTATTTCACAAAACACAAGCAGTGGATCGTAAACACATCCCATAACAACCACACCAGACAGTGCATATATCAAAATTACAAAGCAGATTTGAGTAAACAAGGGCAGTACTGATAGCCATACAAAAATGTGTCTTTGACTTTGGGAGAACACACGTGATAACGGCAGGGAATGAAAGCTATATCAAATTAATAAACCAGTCCCAGACAGTCTGGATGTGCTTTCTCCACCTAAACAGTGTTTTCAAGAGTCAAATTCTCACTAAATAGATACAATTTGTAGTTGTTACCTTTAAAGACACCATGACATTGTTTGATGTGCACAGTTTTTTTTCTGCTGACATTTCCTATTAAAACCGGAAGTTGGAGAGAGACATATCGCAGCCCACCCATCCTCACCCCCTCCTTTTTTAAGACAAAGCCAATAGGCTTTAGTGACATCACAGACATGAATCATAGGCTGCATCCAAATATGCATCATTTCCTATATACTGTATATACTGTATATATGTGTCTGAATTCATAGAATTAAAAAAAACAGTAGGCAAAAGGTACCCAGATGATCTACTTTGGGCGAGATTCTGAAGTACGTATCCAATGGACACTTTACAATCCCATGAGGCCATGGGAGAGGAGTGTGAATGGCGCAACTGATGCTGTAGGTCACATGACAATGACAACAGTGTAGTATGTCCAGATTGCATTCTGCAATATTTGTTGTCACTATTTCAGGAAGAGAAACCTGTAAATTTGTGAGAACATGAATACACTATTGTTCAAAAGTTTGGGGTCAGACATATATATATATATATATATATATATTAAATAAGTCTCTTATGCTCATCCAGGCTCAAATAAATGCTTATTTGATCAAAAATACAGTAAATGCTTTAAAAAAAACGTACTGACCCCAAACTTTTGAACTGTAGAATAATGTAGATGACTTAAGAAGCTAATGCATTATAGACAAAAAGCCACAAAATTCAATTGATTTTACAGTGCCTTTAAGAAACTATTCCCACCTGATTTAACCATAAAAAATGACTTTGGTTGCTGTAACCTAAAGCAATCAGGTTGATTCAGTCTTTTTACATCATATAATAATTTAAATTATAATTTTTTGTACATTTTTTATTCACTTTTTAAATTGTAAATATCTAGTTTGTTTTAACATTTTTTTAAAAGTGCAGATGCAAACAGCATTTTTATTTTGAATCTGAGACAGCAATAAGTCAGACATGCTAAAACCAGACAAGCTTACGATATTGAGCAGAGGGGTAACCTTTATGATCACAGCTCTGACCGCCATTCCTAAAATACTATCATCCCTCTTTAGGACTGTCCGTCAAGGGTAAGGTGCACTGAGCATGTGCACAGCCCTTTAGTCACTTTCTCTCTCCTTATGATGGAGTAAGTGGACACACGTCTATATGTGTGGCCGAGCTGTTCCCTGCAGCCCCCTCGGAGCAAGATTACACAGGATTAGCCCACAAAGAGGCGACCCAAGCTGCTTCCTCCCTATCTACCCAGTAAGACCCTCGACTGTCCCAGCAGCCATTTTAAAAAGCATCTCCACATCCCCCTCCCCCTGCCCTCATCCTCTTCTCTCCTGCCCCATTCATACGCCACCCCAGCCCCCTGCACTCAGCTGAATAAGAGACAAGACAGAGGGAACGAGTGCTGGTGAAAAAAAGGAAGTGTGTTCAATTCAAAAAGGGGGCAGGGTCAACAACCTTGGAGTCTTGCAGTTGTTTACCCTCATCCGCAAATATGGGAGCCTTTGCCAAAGATTATTGTACACATTCTATATTACAGATAGGATATAGATATTGGTTACATGAATATTAACACTGATGATAAAGATGAAATAACAGTATATAGATAATATTCAGATTTTGCATAGAATAGATTCATAAATTTGTCATAGAGTATTAAATTTGTCATTTAATATATACTCTTTTCTGTAACAGTAACTAATCTATATGTCTGTATCTGTCTGTCTATCTATCTATCTATCTATCTATCTATCTATCTATCTATCTATCTATCTATCTATCTATCTATCTATCTATCTATCTATCTATCTATCTATCTATCTATCTATCTATCTATCTATCTATCACAGATCCCAGAAAATTGAGATTGACACACATTACAGAACTTGACACTGAAAATTTTCACATACAAACCAAAATGAAAAAAATAAGTCTGTCTCCGCATGGCTCTGCATACCCCAGACATCCATTTAACTGGAATCTGTCCAGAGAGTAATGGAAGAGAGCAGGAGAGGCTGGAGTGCTGGGAAAAGGGCTATAATGGGCCTTCAGGCACCTCTTCAACATCAGCTATAAGACACTTATCAGACTCTAACCAACACAAAGTCTTCTTTGATAAATGCTGACAAACATTGGTAAAAGGTGGCTGTTATTTCAATGACATGCACAGCTACATAAACACAGTGTGAGTGAGTAAGAGACATCGTACCTTCTTCCTCTTTAATGCTGGGCTGTGGGGGTGTAGGCATCCTCTCTGTGTACGGGGCGGTGGGGCTGCTAGGCTCTGCGGCTGGAGCACGCTCAGTAGAGACCCACGCGGGCTCAGCCATGTCCAAATCCTCACTGCTTACCGAACTCTCATCCTGTATGTGTGTGAGAGAGAAAGAGAGGGGGGAGGAGGAGGAAGTCAGAGAGCTCAGGATATTCTGTGCACAAAATGAAGCTCACCCATCCCACTATCGCCTAGACATCACTAGATTCTCCCATATCTCCTCCACAGCATCTCGACACAGGCAAAGTCCTCATACCTGTGTCAAAATGAGCACTCTAAATTTCCTATATTTCCTGTTTGGTTCAACCATGCTGCTATATGTAAGATTGTCAAGCAACATCTCACTTTACAAACTCTTTCTTCAGTCCATTATCTTCCCAGTGTATCCTTTATTGAGGAAACTCTACATATTGGGATGTGGGATGGAAAGGGACAGAAGGGGGAGACTCTTAAATAATGAGTGAATACGAGGGGAGCTATTTTTAACCCTGTTGGAACCCAATCATTGGAAACCCAAAAGATGCACACACAGGATGAGAAGAACACGAGATATGTATTGTTTTCTTCAGGAATCATGTTCTGGTTGCGAGTTGCAGAACAACATTTAGTACACACAGTTCATTGCATGCACATATTTTTGTTTTTTGGAGTTTGGAGCTGTGAAAAATCCACATAAAGTATGTATGCTTTCGCAGCAGTGTTACATTTCCAGTGTTGTTAATGTTAACTAAAGTTTGGTATTTGAAATAAAGCTAAAATAAAATAAAAATGATACATTTTACCTAAACTAACTGAAATAAGTTGAAGTACTAAAATGACTAAAACTGAAATAAATATTAATTACAGTAAAGCTATATAGAAATATTAAAAAACTACTAAAAGATACAAAATACAATACATTTTTTATAAATTAAAAAATACAAAAACTTGAAATGAAAAGAAAACTGAAAATATAAAAATAAAAGCCAATTCAAAATATTAATAACTAAAATACCAATATAACACTCAATTTCAAAGTCTTCTAAAATTTAGTCAGTGTTGCATAACGGGTCCATTGTCCAGATTTTCTTGACAAAAATACATTTTTTGTTAACAATAATATGCAAAATGACAAAAATGTGTCATACTGTAACAGACCAAACTTTGTATTCCAACATAATTTTACCAGTGTTCAGCATCTTACAGCTCTTTTTTTATATTTTTTTTTATATTGTTAGCATTGCTGATATCTCTTTTAGCATATTTATTTTCCATCAATGTGTTGTAATTAAAATGTTAAATTATCCTCAAAGACCAAACGACTTAACATTTATTCAGCCTAAACGTGTTTTTAAATACGATCTGCATTATCTATTCACACTGACATGTATGTGTGCCAGAATAAGTGCTGATCCATGTTTAGCAGGCTGAAGGCATAGCGAATCACGTCGTGACCCTTGTCTTCACCTACGCTATAGGCGTGAACGCACCTCTCTACCTCTGTTGTCATGACGATGAAGCTGTGAGAAAGTTCACTGTGACTTACAGCAGGTTCTAGAGCTTCTGTAGAACGCTTTCTTCATAGCCTCGCCTCAAAACCCCTCCATAAATGTTCCAGGATAATACACCCTGGATGTAATACACCATAAATGTAACCCATAATACACCCTGTGCCACCCATCTGCTCAGAACAAACCTTCACAATGCCACTGCTAATCTTGTAGCCGCTGAGTTAAAGACTAGCAACCACCCCCACTCATGTGTGACACTTCCTCATTTTCACAAACAAACCCCTCATTTCAAAACCCAACCATCCCCCATCTGCATTAACACACACCTGAATGCAGAATTGAATTCATCTCACCCTCAAGCCCCTGGGCATCAAAGTAGGCCTACTCCATTCTCAGCAGGCCACTCATACCAATTTTATTCATTAAAACACTTTAACTTGCCCTGAAAATTAAAATTAAATTCTACTTACTAATAAGCACAATTTTCACAAACATCACATTACCAAGATTCTTTATCTTACAACACACACACACACACACAAACAAATCCGGCCTCTACACTACATTATGTGTCCCTGATTCTGTTTATTGTTACCATGGTAATCTGAAGAGTAGAGCTGGCTGAAAGAATGTAATCATCAGTGGTGCTCAAGAGAAGGTGAGAAATGCAGGTGAGTAGATAAAGATGTGTGTGTGAGAGAAGAAAAAGTCACTGTGAATTGCCTCTCGATGTGCCTCTCAAACGCACAGGTTCCCTCCCCTTTTCAGCACTGCATGCACTGCTAACAGGAAGGAATTCTGGGACCCCACAGATCAGATAATGGTCACAAATTAACTGGTCTAACAACAGATGTATGAAGCATTGGAGTTAGCTTGAGACCCCTGTTGTTCTGAAACGTACAGTATTGTGACAGAAAGCCTGAAAAATTTGGTCACATGGCGTTATGCTGGTCATCATCATGATCCCAACATTTATTATCTAAAGTACAGACTGAAACCATGACAAGTGTTTATTTTGTAAAAGTGATTCCACACTGTCCTGTACAGATGTGAACCAATATGCATGTGGTAACACACACACAGAGACACACACATGCTGTAAACATTTGTCCATGTGATTCATAGAGTTAGCCTTGTGAAAAATTGGGTTCCCTCTGAGGTTTGTTTAGAGGACTGATGTGTGCGGTGCTGACTCCATTAGGTACCAAGTGGAGCATCAGTAACACAAGCAATGAGAAAGAGAGAAGAAAAAGACAGGAGCAAAAAAAGATCAATGTAGACACAGGAATTTAAGGTGCATGTAAAACAATAAAGAGGGAGATGAGAGGATTATGAAGAAAATAAACTAAGTAAAAAGATGTGATTTAGTCAAGTAGGCCATAAATGAATATTAAACAAACAGAAATTGTGCAGCACTTTTAAATCAGAATTTCTGTAAGTAAAACCCCCCCAAAAAACTCTTCAAACGCTTGAGGCCAAAAAAAGAATTGTTTTTGTAAAAACAAACAAAAATGCATTCTATTGATTAAAAGTGACAGTAAAGTCTTTTACCAATTATATTTCAAATAAATGCTGTTTTTTCAAACTTTTTATTTATCAAGGTTTCAACTGTTTTCAACATTGATACGAATGAGAAATGTTTCTTGAGCACCAAATCAGCACATTAGAATGATTACATGAAACAACATGTGACACTGCAGTAATGATGCTGAAAATTCAGCTTTGCCATCACGGGAATAAACTACTTTGTAAAAAATATTCAAATAAAAAACAGTTATTTTAAATTGTAATAATATCTCACAATATTACTATTTCTGACTGTATTTCTGGTCAAATAAATGCAGCCTTGGTGAGCATAAGAGACTTCTTTCAAAAACATCCTATAGACCCCAAACTATTGAATGGTAATGTCACAAATAATAATAAACGATTCTGCTCCATGGGGATATCTAGTTTACTTGTAAACCTCTGAGTATATTTGAAAGATTTGATGGCACTAACCTTGGAAGCATTGACAAATCCAGTGATTATTTTACCCTCAACAGCATTCATTGTATCAGTCTGGTACATTTGTTTCCTGGCGGACTAACAAAACAAAACAAAAAAATCCTGTGTGCCCCCACTCCAGAAGTTCCATAAATCCAGCCAATTAAAATTGAGCATGCCAGATGGAGAAAGTGCAATATGCATCTGAAATCACTGAACAACAGACGGCCTGGTTGGTGTGCTGTCTGAAGGTAAGACCACTCTAAACATACCCTTACAATCTGAGAAAAATTATTTGTTGATAAGAACGTTGTTTGAACCCCTACCCTAGCCCTAATCCTATATTTAGCACCAAAATCTGATTGGTTGATAGGAATGTTGATCCCAGAACACATCCTATTAGGTGAATTACATTAAGCAAAAGGGCAATAAAACAGACAACTCCAAACAATCTTCAACCTAAGCAATCTGATTGGTTCCCACCTGACACGCAGACGAATAATAGTACTTTAAGTTTTTGTGTCTCATTTTTATGTATACTTATTTTACATTTTAGATCTTATTGAGTCTTATTTTGAACATGAAGAACAAGTAGCTTAAACAAATACAACAATTCTATTCTCATAATAGGTCTAACAATTTTAGTTTTCTAAAGGCACATATTGCCCAAAAAAATTCATGTTTTTTTTTGCTCTTTGTGACCAAAAAAAATAATCCGACTCCATGCAACTTATTTTCATTTTATAGAGAGTGGTACAACAGCGCCCCCTGCACGCAGGCCTGAAGGATAACTACACTAAAAAATTATTGTTGGTTTAACTTAAAAAACTAAGTAACCTGGTTGCCTTCAAATTTTAAGTTCATTGAAATTAAAAAAAAATTGTTCATATAATGAAAGAGATTGGTTTAATAAACAGAAACTCAAAATATTATGTTATCTGCACCACATAAATTATTTAAGTTGATTTGACAAAAGAAATAATGTTGTACTAACAAAATCATAAAAATATTTTTTTTATAGTGTAGGCTACTAGTATTTATCTACCTATATTCCTATTAGTATAGGAGTGTTTACTGCAGTTATCTAGAAATGGATCGTGGCTTTTTTCATCAAAAAAAAATCGATCAAAACTGGCTATTTAAACAGCAATATATGACATTAAATTAAAATATTCCATAAAAAAAGAGAAGAAAACTAAACAAAAAAAATTAAAATAAAATAAAATAATAAAATATTAACCTAAGAAATAAGATCCAGATCTGCTATAAAGGTTTCCAGTTTCTCCAGCTCGGTGGATGTTTCTAACTTAAGCTGGGACTGTGACAATGCAGTATGTCACAGGTACACAACGGCCTTTAGACTTTCTTCTGGATGTTTCACTCTTTGCATGTAATCTTAGAAAACAACAATGCCATTAAGTGAGCTGTAAATGCATGTGACCCAGTGATGTATCCTGAGCTTTCTTCTATGAACATATTCTACAGTGAGAATATTCTCTAAATATGTGCTCTTTAGTTTCAGCTATACAATTACATTCATGTACTGTTTTAGTTCAGTGAAGGAACTGTGTTTCACAAGGATGGGGGTTGTGTGTTTATCATCACCCCATTTATATAGCACAGTGACCCACAGAAACATCCAGCTCTTGCTATTCCAGGCATCCACATATACTGTTGCTGAGGCAACCATGTCTATAAGAGTTTACCTTGACAACCACACATTGCACCATAAGGACTTGTCACAGTTCCTTTGAGCTGAGTGACTTTTACATTCAATTCTTTGCCCAGATACTAAGGAATATTTAGCATCATGATACCATATATTGTCTCTAAAACTCAGGAGCAGTCAGAAAACACACAAACCAGTAACGACTCGTCAATACTGAATTATTTTAAACGTAATAAATATATATATATATTTTTTTTAAACTGACAACTTTGATGTATTGTAAAACAAAGCTTTTTTTCTCTCTTCAGTGCTCTTGTATCTCTCACTCTCTACCTACCTGCTCATTAGTGTTCATACACTGTAGTTTCATCTGTTTTAGATAGGTGGCAGTGAGAGGCATGTTGTAGTCGATGAGGTCTGGGACCAGGGAAGTGGGCCGGTCATTCTCTGTGGGTGAAAAACAACAAAAGAAGTTACATTTCAATTTTTACTTTCACATTTTTAAATTTGTTAAACGTTAATATACATACTACCTTTCAAAAGTTTGTGGTCAAATTTTTTAACAGATTTTTTCATATTTTTAATAGCAGTCGCTTAGCTCACCAAGGCAGCATTTATTAAAAACAGCAATACTGTGGAAATTACTACAATTAAATGTCATTTATTCCTGTGATTGTAAAGCTGAATTTTCAGCAGCCATTACTCAATCTTGCTCTCAAGAAATATTTCTTATTATTATCAATAGTTGAAAACAGATTTGCAGTTTAATATTTTTGTGGAAACTGTGATACATTTTTTCACGGTTCTTTACAAAATAACAGCATTTATTTGAAGTAGAAATCTTTTGTAATATTATGAATCTTTTTAGTGACATTTTTATCTATTTAATGCATCCTAGCTGAATAGAAAAATCTGTTTCTTTTTTTCTTCTTTTTTTAGCTTGCTGACCCCAAACTTGAACGGTAGTGTGTGTATATAATATAAGTGTATAAATAATTTTCTTCAAAAAGCTTATTAGTTAAAAAATGTGTAGCTAATTCATAAGATTTTCCTACTTTTAATTATTAATTTGTAAGTCAATATTGTTTCACTCAATCCCATTCTCAATAGTGTGCATGACTCAGTTCAGTCCCCTAGAAGGCGCTCTTGAGACAGCGCTCCAACAGAGCCGGCTGAAACCCCCTCGGGTCTTTGTTAAAATCAAACACAATAAACACAGACAGGCTTTTGTTTGGACACAGATCTTCTGACTCTATACAGAGTTCCCAGTCGCAATATAGTGTGAACAGTTCAATAGCAATTTTTATTCTATAACCTGCTTTGGAGAGCAGTGATGACTCTTCCCTTCAGAACCCCTGCAGGCAGAAGCTGGTCAGCTAATTCACTATTCAAAGTTTGTTTAACATTCGTTCTCCACAAATGCACAAATTTGAAAATCGTTTATTTTTAATTTTTTATATGAATTAGGTTATGAGTTTAAGCATTTCACTGCAAATATATAAACTTTTTTTTTTTTTTTGCAGATGTAAATTAGCTGACACATTGGTGAATCATTTTCACCAAAAAATTGAAACTATTTTAGCTCTTTAGAAATCAAGCTTATCAGTGGCAGTGTGAATTAGTCACATCAGCCGGTGACTAAAGGCAGACCAACATCACGTCTATGCAGATAGATACAGCACATAGAGCACAATATCTCAGAGCTTTGGGAAAATGACACTTTCTGATTCGTGTGCAGGGAAAGGTATTTATTGCTGACACTTTATGACAATAATGAAGTTGTGATTGTAACAGCTCTACTGTCTCTGAATTATAAGTAATGATGCAAATATCCAGAGAGAAAGCATATTTGAAGGTCATCACATGAGCGTCTGCTGTGTCATGTCTTGAAGGATTGCGTGCATATTTCCTTTAGCGTTATTTTTCATTCTTTTTTGTTAATCAGATGTTTACTGTGGGAAGCGCGTGGGTCGGATTATCCATGCATTAATTACAAGGGGCCCGTAAAAGCGCAGAATTGTAGTCTTGCCTCTGTGGCTCATCAAAAACAGTGTGACTTTAATGAACATTTTGGAATCCTAATCTTTCCTAATTACTGCTAAAGGGTGATGCACTCGCAAAACTTTAATTAATGATAAAATGAACAAAAACAACCAATTTACTCAGCGGCACATATTCATGTGTACGGTGCAAAATCATTAAAAATGGCAAATCTAGACATGAAAGTGCAAGAACGGTGCCTGACCTTTGAACTCTGCCGTGCTGGGGTTGATGTGCATCCTTTTCTGGCATTCTCCACAACTCATCAAGAAACGAGTCACCGCCTCACGTGGAAGAAATGCGTAGGTCTCTGCAATCTGACAACCAAAGGAGAGAACGGAAAGGAGTCAGCAAATATTTTAGAGATGAAACAGAGAAGCAGAAACAAACAATGGAGCGTATCCACAAAAATAGTTTACTGTATACCAAAACCCACTGAGGATAAAGGGTCTGCATGCAACATGGAGCAAGGAACCACAGTAGGTTTTGGAACAGAGCTATTCATTTTCATACTAATGACAACATAACTGCAACATATTTGCTATATACACTCATTTCTAACAATGTCTACTTAGCAATGCCTCCCTTTTCTTATTTTCCCTTCTCTAAATCTTCTAATCTTTTTGGTCTCTCTCATCCCTGTGCCCTCTCCCTCCTCTCTCTTTTGCTCTTGCTTTCGTCTCCTGGAGGCTTTCTGTGTGCGACCTTCACACAGAGAGGGTGATCGAGCAGTAGCAATGGCAGGCCCTCCACCCTCCCCCCTTAGGTGGCACAGAGGGAAAAGGCCAACCAGGGAAAACCGCACCTCCCAGAATGCCATGCTCCCAGACTGCCCCCTCCTCCCAGACTGGCAGGGCTGGTCTCTGTGGGCTGCTTGTGCTATGAGACCTGACAGCAGGGCTCTCCAGGGCACTGGCTGAGAAGAGGAGGTGAACGTTGCCCCAAGGACATTGTGCAGCCCCTGCCACCCCCGCACACACACATGCAAACAGCTTTTTGCATCTTTAGTATTGGGGGTGCTCCCTGATCAGCCTTCGTGTGTTCGAAATAATGAACCAGTCATCTTCAAAGGAATAAGCTGAGGTCCAGTGTGACAGAGAACATTGTTAATGCGCAAAAACATTCATTTCATTTTATAATAAAAGACAAAAAAAAGAAAAGAAAGAATGCATGGAATCTCAGGGAGTGGTGTGGGTGCCCCTTCAGTGGCCTCAATCTCAATACAGCATCATTGCAGTCCCATCAGGCCACCACTAGAGGGCAGATAGCAGCAGTATTTGAAAGGGTAGTGGGACAGGATGAGAAGGGTGATCTGGAATAATAGTATGTCCCAAAGCTATGTACTGCTACACACTCAGAAGTATGTACTTTTTTTCACAAAAATATGCGAATTGGGACTCATCATAATAATATTTTTTTAGTCAGTAGTTATGACTGAAGTTGATTTATATACAAATGAATAAGAGTTGAAAAAGTGAGCACACATACCTGCATCGTATTAAATAATATTATACCTAGTAATGATAAAAATTGGTATTACGATTATATATGCAGTTATTATTATTATCCACCCCTCCCAAATTATTATAATAAATATAATAAATAACAATATAGAATTATTTGAATTATAATTTTAGATTAGGTTGTAAAAATACAATCAAAATAATTATGAATTACCATAGCATATTATTTTCCAATAATAATAATAATTATTATTATTATTACTACTACTACTACTACTACTACTTCTACTACAATTGTAAAATATTATTATTATTTTTATTACTCGAAAAACATTATTATCATTAGTCACCACTATTATTGTATTTTGGATTATTTTATTATGATATACAATCTAAAAAATTGATAATGAATATAATATATTATTTTAAAATAATAAATTGATTATTATATGAATCACCCCAAAACGATTGTATTAGATTAGATGGTATTGTAATATTGATATACAATAGAAATAAATAGCATAATATATTCATCTGCAATAACTATTTCTGTCACTCTGTTACTGGTGTGGACTTCATAGCAGACCTGGCACATATCACCATCTGTGTCATTATGCCAAAAGTATGGACTCTGATCAGGACCTGAAAGGCTCAGGCAGCATTTGGGACAGGGTCACGGGTGTAAAAATGTAGGCTTCTGGACACCACCAATCAGAGTCAGTAGCAGCTAATTATACAGCCAATTAAAGTCAGTTCAACCAGAGCAAATCAAGCCAATCACAGCTGATTTCTGAAGGTAATAGCCAATCGGTGAGACCTTAGAGTGTTCTGATCTTTGCTTGTCTGATAGTCCAGCAGTTTAAGAGTGGTTCAATGTGTGCCAAATGTCAAAAACATGGCTATCAGGCAGTTAATTACTTTAATTAGGTGATTAGCACAAAGCTTAGTGGGGGCTGGAACCCAACACCTGCTTTCACACACCAAGGAATCACAGCACAAGAGAGCATAATCAAGCGGTGCACACTTACACATCCCCTATCTACCTCTATAAGAATAAAGGACCGTTCACACCAAGAACGATAACTATAAAGATAACTATATTAGTGTCCACACCAGCGGACGATTACGTTCTGTTTATTCTAAGCGCGTGCTTGTCTGCCGCTTTAAATGCTCGAGCTCTTTACAGCAGGATGGATTCTGATTGGCTGTCAATGTTTTTATCATTCATCAGCTGGACAAAATCATTCTAAAAAAGTGTTTCCAACGATATTCTCTGTTCCGTTATCATTATAGCTGTGGTGTGGGCTACTTTAATATTCAGAACGATTTTTAGAACTATATCTTTATCGTTATCTTTATAGTTATCGTCCTTGGTGTGAACAGGCCTTAAGTCTAGTTTCTGTGTTCTGCTTTAATTGGATCAGATGCTGCATTATGTTGTACTTCGTGTCATTCTCCCTCCCATATTATCAAATAATAAGCAACATAATAACTCAATGCATGCTGAATGTACTGTATGTGCTAAGAAACATAACTGCTTATAATTACACACTACATAGAGAAATTATGCTGCGTAAGAGTAAAGATATGTGATATTAAATCCCGACAGTATTTGGCTCAGATTCAGTCACTAACTCATTCATGTTTGTTCCTCCTACTTCATACACCAGTGTCTCAGATAAAATAGAGGTGAGATAAAAGCTTTACCGAGCTCAACGGCTCTGGCCGAGCTGTGATATAAACTAAATTCTATTGGCTATTTTAAAAAGGGGAGGAGCTGATCCCAGTGAGCCTTTAAGTTTTCGAGACCTCTCCGACAGTTAGAGAAAGAGTATATGGCAGAAAATAGAGAGATACACTGGAAACAATATAGGTTTGCAGTGCTGCTGATAAGCAGGTTGACTAATATACCTGCAGTTTGGGCAACTTAAAATACAGCTGGATATCAATCCAAAATGATATCCTCTGTCTGTAGCTATGACAAAGCTCTAGTCCTATTATAGGGAAGAAAACGAGAACAAATGAGAACTCTTTAATATAAAATAAAAATTTCTTCCTAGAAAATTTGTTGTATGTTTAAAAAGTTAAGAAGTTAACCAAATTAAGAAGTATCATGCTTCTCAGATTATTCTCCTGAATAAGAAGAATCTCACATGTATCTCAGAGTTTCAGAAAAGATCTCAAGAAAATTACACAAACTGTGCACTGATTTCCCAGATATTTCAAAATAAACAAGATTTTAATATTTCCCAAAAATAAATTATATGAGCTATCCTGTCAATTCATTTTACTCTGTGTCAGTTGTCTAATTTTGTATTTATTTCTCCTAAGCAGTTTTTAGAAGAAACATTGTCTTACTTGGTTAAATTTACTTGAATAAAACTGAGAACTAGGGCTACACAATTTGAGGAAAGAATCTAATTGCAATTTTTCTGATAAAAAAAATATTATTGTGATTTAAAATGTGATTTAAAAACAAAAAAGTTTCCTATACTTGTTTTTAGGACTGCACAATTTGGCCAAAATGTTGTTATTACTGTATAAATCAATATGACTGGAATAATAACAAAAAATCCCTTTTCTAATATTTGTACAAATTAAAAAAATAATAAATATAAGCGTGTTTAAAACATATATAATAATTATTATTTTATTTTACTGTATAACTGTAAAAAGACTCATTCTAATATTTAAGACTGTCCTAATTTCTTAATTATCAAATGTTAAACAATCAGGGATTTATTTTGGTGGAAAAAGGTTTATGTGCTCCTCTCATAACAAGTTTTGGGAAGTTGGTTGATTCATGTTCAAGACATGCAGAGATGAGTTTGTGTGAAGCAGCATTCCACTTGGAGACATTGAAAACACTGTATGATGCGCTGCTCGCATGTAAAAGAAGCGCCTCGTTTCACTCTGAAACATGCAGCGCATATCTCAGCCATTGCGGTTTTAATCAGATTAATCGTGCAACCCTACTGAGAACTACAGAAGTCCTGAGTCACGAAAGGGCAAACTCTGAGCAATTAAATTTTCCTCTGGGCTTGGCGAGCCAAGCAGCTTTATATAAGTCCCATGATGCAATACTTGTCACTTGGGTCTTGTCATGTTTGACAGCTTGAGAGGTAGTGATGTTGACTTATATCGGTGGGTCAGACGGGTTCAGGTTTAAAAAGATTTTAGAATGCGTTGGATTGTTTTTCACAAACGTGGGTGGGTGCGAGTCAGAAAGATCTGGCCAGTACATCACTAGTATGCATTTGCTGTTATGGCGTAAATCCACAAAACATAGTGTTCCATTTGAAGTTTAGACTCCTTGCTGATTTAAAGTCTATAATAGCTCAACAGTGCGACAGGTGTTTCAAAATGGCTGCTGTTGCCCCAGCAACAGCCTCTACTCATTATAGTTATTCAGATGTTCTATTTTAGAGTTGCTTCTGTGGTCGTTTAAATAAATAGAGTGAGGACAGTTTTGCACATTGCTGCACATGAAGCCTATGTTGCATGTACTTTTTTATAGCAAGAGAAAGGATTTCGCTTATGTGTGTCTTGACTATATTTTATGCACTGAATGATTGTGTCTCACCGCCTTATAGGTTTTTTTCTGGCCGGCGTGTTTGGGTGCTCTACCAGGATCCGCCCCCATCTCAACATGCATGGCATAGATGATATCAAAAAAATCCTCCACTACAGCAACCCGCTTCAAGGAGCTGTCCTGGGCCGCCCCTCCATCTGAACACTGCTGAAAGACAGAGAGAAAAGGTGATTATAAAAAACAGAAGGAAGGTCAACATTCAAAAACTATAGCTATGTTCAGACTGCAGGCAAATGTGGCCCAAATCTGGAATCGGATCTGTTCAATTCTGATTTGGGCCACTTCCACATGTGGTCCAAAATCATATACAGGTCAGATGTTTTGCAATGCAACCTTAGTCTGAACAGTCATATTGGAATTCATGCAACTTTTACATCACTCTAGATCGACATTTGTCGTAAGATTTTACATATCAGTAGTTTTGGTGACTCGGTTAAAAAGTAAGACAGCTTTGAAGGCAGTTGGAGGGACAGTAAGAACACATAACTTAAGGAGACAGCTCTATAGAAACAAGCAAACTTTGAGGGAAAGCTATACAAGAAAAAACTTTGCTCTCTTTCTTCTCATCCTCATCTTTGTCCTCCTTATTTGCTGCACATGAATTTGCTGGTTTCCGTGGCACGTCACCTTATAAATGAACGTGTAAGGGCAGACTTCAGTTGCTGCATGGCGTCTTTGTTATCAATCTTTTCCGCATGTGGGTCAGTTCAATTAGATTCTCACTTGAATCTGATATTGACCACATTTAAAAAATAATGTGAAGAGCACAAACAAAAAAATGGATCTGAGCAATAAATAAGAATTTAGCACTAAGGCTTGAAGTATGAATGTAGCCTATGGTACCTCATATTTCACTGGGCTTTTCACAATTACTGCATGGTATTACTGGGTATTATTCAGGTTTCAAAATTCCCCCCTGTACATATGCAAATCCTGGGTTAATGTTCTTATTTGCATATTCATGAGTCAGTAACACTGATTGGACAAATAACAGCTCTGTATAAAAACAAATAAAACATTCTCTTCTTCACTCCAGTTGCATTTGCTCAACATTTTCATGTTTGTCTGAAACGCCGCCACTAAACAGCATGTGAAGGCCTCTGACAGCAGCAACCAGATGAACTCTGCATGCACCAGTCCACAGACTGGCATCTTTATGGGCACAAATCTTTACTGCTCATACATTATTTGAGTTTCTGAGTTGCATTCCCAACATTTATGCTTTATGAGTATTGCCTTGGGGTTATGGCGACTGTACAGCTAAGACAGTCTCTTTTGTGTAGTGTATTATTCAGACGTTCATTGATCTGAATCTAATATTAAGTCCTTCACAGCTCAAGAGGTTTTTTACTGAATATCTCCAGTTAGATTTGTGTGCGAGAAATACAGTGTGGTTTTTAACCCTTTTTTGCAGCATTTTGAAAATGACTGCTTTCTTGACCACAGACACACACACAACCAGCCCCACCTCTAACCATCGCCACCTTCAACCCTGCTTTCCATAAAGCTGACCCTGTCGCTATGGCAACTGGCAGCGCTCTCGGGCAGGTGTGCAGGGCAGCGGGTCATGTGACACCTGCAGGAATTCTGATCACTAAGAGAACCTTCTTATTCTCCCAGTCCCACACAGACCCAACCGTCACCTGTTCATTATTGCTTTCACACCTTTTTCTCTCATTACTTCTTTCTCAGCTTTACTTCAGAATGGCATGTCTTTTTCAAAGTAACTGTGACTTATTTACTATAACTTTTTTATAGGTGAAATGTTTATTAATTAAACATAATTATTGTTTAATAAATAAACAATATAAAATCCAGTTTAATAGTGGCACAACAATTAATAATTGTTGTGCCACTAGTATTAAACTGGATTTTATATTGTTTATATATTTTAACAGAGAAAATTACGCTCTCAAAGCATAACTCTTTTGTCACTTATATCACAAACATCTCTACAAGACTTCAATATTGCTTTCATTTTTATGTTTCCAGATTCTATAGCTGGCATAAACAAAGTTAGCTTGTATTGCCTGTTTCAATCAGCAGGTGTTGTGTAAAAAAGGAAGTAGCAGTCATTATCCTTCCTCTTCATATAATTTTTTTCTCTCTCTCTCTCCCTCATTCTTTAACTGCACATTTCTACTTTGATTCCCAGAGGGGCTAACGTTTTTTCTTTCCTCTTTTCTCCACTTGTTTTCCTTTCTCCATCACATTTTCCCCAAGACATCTGTATTTTTCTCCATCTCTCTCTCCCTTTTTTCTCCTGTCCCGCTCCATCTTTCCTCTCTCCCTCTTTCTCTCGCTCCCCCTTTCCCAAGTGCCAGGTAATGAATGTTGCCATGGCAACTAAAACCAGCGCACATAGCGGGCTCGCTTTAATCCGGCCCTCTCCAGCCATCCGGCTTGTGCATGCGTTCCCTCCTCTCGTCATAATTATAAGTCTTATTATGCCACGATCAGTCAAACATGCACCACCCTGGTTTTCATGATCTCGGTCACGAGGTGATTATGCCACACCTATGCAGAAACCCTCTTGCTCTCTGTCAACCAGAGAATATTCTAGAAATGGTCCCTCTAGGACACAGGACGCAGACTCTAGGACCAGATGCAGACTCCTCCAATACCTTAGAGAAGAATGCCTCGGTTATAGCCATGGGGGGAGGATTGTGTGTTTTTGACTCTGTCTGTCATACAAACATCTCCATCTCAGCTCGATTGCTCCATTCGGTTGCTTTCACACATGCACTTTCAGACACAAACATTTCCTCTGTCCCCCACCATTTCCCCAATCTGAGGGGACATCACAGTCTGTGGGTGACTAAAGTAGGCCAGCAGGATCAGGGAGATCTGCTAAGCTCTACCGAAGGCCTAACTTAGTCCAAACCTGACACACAGTGACACCATACTGCACCCATATAGATCCAAATATGGGCCAGTTAAGTGTACAGTGCATAGAACCACTGTGTGTGCAATAATAACAACATATCGCAATTAAATCAGCAGGTCATCACAAATGTATTCCATTGACTGTACTCAGCACAATAACCGTAAAGTTGAATCTAATGTAATGTAAGTAGAAATTTTAGAAAATAGAAAATAGACTGCAAAATGAAATGACAGACAATAGCTGACTATTTATTTACTATGTTTAGAAACAGCAACAGTTCCTCCAAAAAAAAGTTTATTTACCCTCATGTAATCTCCAGTTCATATAGAAATGGTCACCTGTTAATTGCCTTGCTCTACAGAGTATTTTATCCTATCTTCTTAAGTGTTTTTTTTGTGTGTGTGTGATTTATGTATCCCCTGTGATATTTGTTCAATAAAAAAAGAAAAAAGAAAAGAAATGGTCACCTGCTTCTTCTACTGTTTCAATGACCAGCATAAAAAGGTGCATTTCTGCCACCTAGTGGCCTGGAGTGCAAAGTGTTGAATGATGCACAGAGAGCATACCATGCTACCACGCTTTTACTGAAAAATTGCTGTACTGTAAAAAACGGCAGTCATACAGCACAACGTGAAGGTGAGTAAATGATGACACAACTTAGGCAATCACTTGACTGCAACAATGGTGAAGTACGAAGTTCAGTGTTCAAAAATATTTACTGCAGAATGCAACGATTGACCAATCAGAATCAAGTATTCCAGAGCACTTAAAAATAGAAAGAAAGAAAAAATATTACAGAACGCTAGGTTGTAAACATCTCTGATTTGAAAGTGGCGGACTGTTACTAATTTGATAAACAGTAACCAATTGCGACTGCAGATAGTATGACTCACACAGTGAATGTTTTATTAACCCTGATGAGGTGAACACACTCCTCACTCACTCTTCCTCAAAGCACAAAAGCGCAGTGTTTAGATTCTCAGGTTGAGCTGACTGTTTGTTCCCAACGTGGAGCAACAGCGTGTGTGTTTAATCATTAAACCACTGTAGAGCTGAACTTGTGTGTGTGAGATGCTGCTTTCTGGGCCTGAAAGTGCACGGTTTCATCATCCTCTCATCATTTTAAAGAAGCGTTGTGAATTCTCAGCAGCAGCAATCAGCATTTCCTCTTCTACAACTCTATCTGTCTCTCTCTTTTTTTTTGAGACCCGGCAAGCCTTGGCTTTTTCCAGATGTGGCATATTTTTCAATCTCCCTCTCCTCTTCTCTATCCCTCCTATTCTCTTTCTCTCTGATTTTCTCTCTCTTTCTTTCCTTCTCTCACCCGTCCCGCTCCAAACAGCTCTGTTGCTAGGAGACTGGAGGGGCTGATTCGGCAAGCGGCCACCCCGACCCCCCACCCCCTCTGGCAGTCGCACACACACAGACAGAGTCTCTGAACATTCGTACACACACAGGGGCAGTGAAGGGAGGGGGCAAGAGAAAGGAGGCAGCTGGGTCACACTCACTCACACATACACGTATGCATGGGCCGACGGAGATAGAAGAGCCCTAGCAAATATTTATGTTAAAAGGGTAAAGAAGACCTGATAGACTAGAGCTACGTAACCGAACATGACCGATTCAGCAATAAACGGGACACGATAGATACACATACAACTAAGATGCTTTTAAAAAAAAAAAAAAAAAAAAAAACACTCAGTACTTGAACCATGTAGCTGAGTAGCAAGTGTGACAGTACTGTGTGGTGTCACCACATTATAGTCTTTCCTTACTGCTGCCCCACACATTAGCTTTATCAGTGTTCAGATAAACTAAAGCAATAATAAACTACAGCACTGTAAATGAACAAACACAGATAATAATAATTATTTATTCAAATAATAAAATATCAGTCTCTTTTGGGGTCAAGAATAATTTTTATTTGTATATTTTCTAAAGAAAATTGACTACTTATTATTATATATGTTATTATAGGGCCTACTTCTTTAAAATGTAAGTTAGATTGCTTTAAAAAGTAATATCACTCCTCTTCTGCACAAGCCGCACAATTTGAGATATAATTCATCGAACTGTGCAGTTCGATGAATGGTGCAGGGCGACCTCTGTCCGAAGTTTAATTCTAACCCACCCATATGAGCAATAGTTATAGTGATGCTAGCCTCAGCGAACATCACTAATTATAATACAGTATGAGTTCATTTAGTGTTGTCTGCTTTCAGACACATAGACACTTAATATCCAGCAGTATATTTATGAA